GTTCAGTTAACGCTAGAAATGTGTTTTGGAGTTTGTACGTGCTTTGTCTCTAGGGGCCACTGTATATATATATAAACGTATATAAATAACATTTATTATTTATTTTACATTAGTAATTCCTTTTTTGAATAATTTAATATTGTTGTTGATAATAAATTAATTAAAGCAACAAAACAACCCGAAGAGCCGTTTGGGAGCCAAAAGAGCCGGCTCTTTTTAGTGAGCCGAGCCGAAAAAGCATCTAGGTGTTTTCTAATGACTTTCTCTTGTGCAGAGTCAGGTGCAATGCTATTCTGCAACTCGAGGCCTTGATGGTTTCATGAACTGAAATAGAAACACGTACTGTTTTGTGTTCTTGTGCACTGAAATTGAGTTAATTTAATAGTAAAGTGGCTAAATTTGTTACTGTTGTGATAGTAGTGCAACTGTTAGCTTGTGTACATCCTGACAATGCTCGCCTTTTTGCTTTGTGTTTTTTGTCGAAGTGTAAACATATTTTAAAAAATGTAGATATCTTTTGGTCAGGCTAACTTCAAGTCATTTAGCCATCCTGACACACTTACTATATTTTCTGGAAGAAAATATTAATCATGACAATAATAACCCTACTTGTTCAGCAGTTTGTAAACCAGATGGTTACAAAGTGCCTCACAATTTAGATGCCTGTTTATGTCATTCAGTTCTGATAATTATTTCAAGTTACTGTAACACTTACATTTTTTCCCATTTTGCCAAATCTTCAAATCATTCCCACACTTACAAACTCAAAAATATATATATATATAAATTTAAGTTATTATTTACTTACTGCACAACAAACACAATACATAGTCAGAATGGTCATAGGAAGGAAGACGCTTATGTCAATCCGCATCATCACTTCAAGGCCATATCGTACATCGTGGTAATTTTCTGTGATGGGGTTCCTGTATATTATGTGTCCAAAAGGTCATCCTCTGAAAAACACTTTGCATGACATAGCAGGTGGTGGAGAAGGCAGTAAGTTAACATGTGGACATGAAATTGGGGATATCATTGGCTTAGAAGATCCAAAACCAGCTAAGGTGAAAATAAAAACATGAAAGAGCTTAAATTGTGTTGTGCTTGTACCAACAGGGATATACGATGTTTAACAAGTCTATCAACTTCACTTCAGATTGAAACAGTAAAAATATTTGTAATTACCAAAATCATTTTTTATGTTTCTGTTAATCCACCAGTATGTCCAAACCCATAAATCAAATGGTATTTTTTAACAATAATATATAATTATTGTGGTTATCCATGAATTTTCAAATGTACTGTTTTCAAAAACAAGAAAAAGCAGATAATAAAGCACATTTTATTACTATGATGTTAAGGTGCCAAAATAAAGTCATTTGTATGTGTTTCTGAACAGAAAGTAATTTAGTTTTAGTTGTTGAATGTTTAGCTTGACTAACTTCTTAGTTCTCAGAGAAGTCCAGTCGGCCGGCTCAAATTCGGGTAGAAAATCATAAATTTAGTTTGTTCTTTTTCACGCAGATAACCAAGTTAGTTTTAGTTTAAAACAAAACAGATTTCTAAAATATTTCTTGTTTGTTTTTATTTTATGGCAGGTGGTAAAAATTTGTTAAGCATTGTATTTCTCTAAAATAGTCAAACAGAAAAAAAAAATGTTTGTTTAACCAAAAGTTGGGTGGGGGCTCTGCATATACTGTATTTACATGCTTGTGAATGAAAGTGATCCAGAAGTTCTCTTTTTTTCCTGTCCCGTTCAGCACTGCAGTAATCTGAAGGCCAAGAAAAATGTGAATGTTTTCCCAAGTGGATCAATACGACTTTGCCATACTGGTCCACTTGATTGATATTTATTTATTTATTTATTTATTTATTTATTTATAAGTAATTACAATCAGAACAGACAGGACTGGAGGATAGGAAAGGGAAAGATGTAAAGAAGAGAAGTTGGGAAAAATGCTCAAGAAAAGAAGAGGGAAAGAAAAACAGAGGGGAAGAGGGATAGAGACAAAAGACACTAAAAATCCACTAGATCACCTGCTGGGGAAAAAAAAAGAATAAAACAAGCAAACAGACAACAACACAGTAGGGAAATCACAGCAACAACATAGATAAGCATAAGTAACAGTAAATAATAAATACTGAATTTTACTGAGCTGCATACAAGACCGACAGTGCATGATATGATAAGAGGCTGCAGCCAAGGAAGATAGTGTGTTTCTGTGCACACCTGTGTGCACACCTGTATGCATAAGTGTGCTTGTACTCCAAAAGGGTTCTCCCTGTAGTAGGTGTGGGGAGC